CATTTTCTCTTGTACCGTGTGTTTTAAGATTTGTACCTTAGTTGTTTAGTATTTTTTTTAATTGAGTGGGTTGAGAAAGATAGGATTTCCGTATGTTGTGGGTTGGGAAAGATGAAGAAAAATGAAAGAGAAAAGCTGATGTGGCAGTGGGTTCAGTGGGAACGACTCCCTTCTCCCTTATGAATCATTTAATTCTCAAATATTTTAAATATACGCCATCCACATGAAACCAACGTCACACTGCAACCTCACCGGTGACTGGACCACATAAAAATCATCTCATACACAACCTAACACATAAGATGCAACATGTACGTCATAAACTCATTCTCTTTTAATATCCTTAAGCATGCAATTATCAACAAACATTTAAATTCACCATCCTATTACCTATTTAAACATCTTTAACATAGATTTAAAGATATCATAACACCAAGAGAAATATTATAAATGACCAATGAACTATACTATTTGACAACTTTTAGTCATTCAATTTATTTTTGTTCATTTTTAGATAATAAAAATTCCACAATCGTCTCAAATTAGCCGCTTTAACCGACTTACATATTAAAACTTATTTAGAATTAATGGCCTTTTTAATAGTGTCAAGAAGTAGAGATTTTTCTGGAGGAAATATTCGAACGATGTTTTTTAGTTGTTCATACTTTTTTTCGATGTTTGGCTGTTCCCAAGTATTAGACAAGATTCTCCAATGCAACCTACATTAATAAACTAAAAGGGGCACAAAAAGAAAAGATGGAAAGATTTCCGATCTAACATCATGGTTGGTTTCATGTCAAGGTATATCATAGTCCAGTTTTGGGGGTTTGTCAATTATTATAGATGTTGATCATAAGCATTGTGAGCAATGTTTTAAAACCCGGGTTTTTAGTTTACCCGGTGTGATGACCGGTTCACGGGTCAACCGGTTGAACCGTCGGGTCAACCCGGTTTATGGTATTTTTTTTTATTTTTATATATTTTTACTTTCCTGCATAAACATATAAAACCAATAATTTGATATCCACAAAGTTTAAACATTGAGAAACATTGAAGAAACCACAAACGGCTCGTTGTTTTGACGTTGGCTACTTGTAGCCAACTATCCAAACCCAATTAAAACGGGTTAATCCGGTTTGAACCGGTTCAACATAAGCGGTCGAACCGCGGTTTAGAGGAAACCCGGCCGGTTCGATCCGGTCCGTATTTTTACAAAAAACCGTTCACAATTGACCCGTCTTCTATCCCGGGTCACGGTCCAACTGGTTGAACCGGCCGGGTCGACCCGGGTTTTAAAACATTGATTGTGAACTTGCGTGTTAAAGTTGTATGGCTGTTTGGTTACCTCCAAATGATTTAGAGCTGAGTAACTTAGAGATATGAATCATTTAGAGGTTGTGAATGAATCTATGTCTTAATGAAAAGATATTGTTCGACAATGTTCCCAAATAGTTATGCTAAATGAGAAAACTATCATTTTACCTTTTTTATTTAAAAAAATTCATACCAAACCATCAAAAAATTAAAAATCATCACATATACAGACTACTAACTACTCAACATCATGACAAAAAATTATTGTAAGCAAAAATAATACAAAAATCAAGATCAATGCCTTACAATTCAAACATTAAAGCTCAAGAATACTTAATTCCCTTGATCATGCCAAATTCCTAACAATCCTTTTTGCATATATTAACTAGTGGCATAATAACATAAATTTCATTGACCACCATGAAACCAGTAATCTAATCATATCTTAAACAATCTTGCATCTATCAAAAAAATCAAAATCATAATAAGCTTCTCACCGATTCAGCATTCTAAAGTCACAGTATCACCGATTCAATTTCATTGGCAACTCATGCTTGCTTGACTTGTACTCGGGTAGTTGTTTTAGATCATTATATTCTTACATACAAAGTCTTGTGATATCAATACAAATAAAAGGTTTTTAGACTTTTGGATCGTTTCTTATAAGTAAACCTTAGCATTTTTAGTTTGTTCTTTTTATTATCTTAAGGATTTAACTGAAGGTGAATCAGAATGGAGCATACGTCCTTGTTGTTTGGTTACAGCTAGCTAGCCACATGGAAGTTTTAGACTTTGTAGTGCCTTTGGAATTTGTACTTTAACCCATATTACACTCTTTGTTCATTGTTTGTTCATTGGAACCACGCACTGCTTTTCATTATGCACAATTCCATGTCTCTATTCTATTTAACACGTTCCGGTATTCGAAATATCCTCATGATAAATTCATACATGATATTTGGCATGTAGTACCATGTACCTTAACTTAAAATACATCTATGTACCTCTTTCACTGAAGATTTAAGAAAACAAAGCATCAAAATCATCAAACATTGTAGTACTGTCAAGAATACGAGGAACAAATTAAGATATGATACAACTTAATCTCTTAAAACCAATGGATACAATAAAAGAAGCATACAAGTCATGACACCTTACACGCCCATATTTTTTAATATTTCCAACATATGAAAATGAAATATTATTTTATTTTAGATTGTAGAATTAGATACATATTTTTTCTAAGTTGTCGAGATTAATAATTTTTTTTCCAGTAATCAACACTCAACGGTCATCTTGGACCATGTAATGTTTTTTTATCTGTCATAACATTTTAGATATTTTATCGTATTTTGTAACACCCCCACTTTCATACCATTTTAAAACAATTATTTTGTGTTCAGTTTTCAAAACATGTCATATCATAAAATCAATATTACTTTGTGGAAATTGGTCCCAATTAAAACTTTTTCCATAGGAAAACATAAATATATAATCAGGAAGCTTTATAGGTTAGAGTTTTGAAATCTATTCATGGCAATTTTGGGGGGTTTATGGTGGGCTCTCGCCTAGCTGTTAAAGGTGTTTGGTCGGGTATTGTTTCAACAACTCTAAAGCTTCATGAAAAATAGATTGATCCTTTATCTACTTTTAAAAAAGTTATGGGTAATGGTAGGTCCATTTTGTGTTTGGAAAGATGTTTGGATAGGAAATATGAAGTTATTTTTGGTGTTCCCTAGGCTTGCAGCTCTTGAAACAGATCTTGATTGCTCAATAGCTAACAGAAGAGAAAACCAAGACTGGAGATGGAGATGGAGACATAATCTGAAAGACCTGATAGGTGGTCTTGGGAGTTGGCAAACGGGTTGGAATTTACGGTTAAAATACCCGTTTGTTCATTGATAATGCTATTGTTTCTCATGGTGGGTTACATACGAAGTGGAACACTTTAATTCCCATTAAAGTGAACATTTTTTGTTGGAGGGTGTCTTTGATTTGACTTTCTACTAAATATAAACTCGTTGATCCTGGTATAGATGCGCCTAGTGTGTTGAGTGCAATTTTTGGAGTCAATGTGGAAGATGTAAATCACCTGTTAGTGAGATGTAATGTAGCGAACTCGACGATGGCCAAGATTGGTCAAGGGTGTGATTTTGATTTCTTTTTTATGTTGTTCGTAGGTGATGTTCAGAGTTGCTTGGATGTGATTATTTCGACAGCTTGGTGGTGCATTTGGAACTATAGGAACAAGTGTGTGTTTGATCGTGTTAGGCCTAGAAAGGATAGGCTTTTGATGACATTGTCTCTTTTTCTTATTCTACTGATTAACGTTTATGTGTGAAGTCTTCTAGTGTCCAAAATTCATGCTAGTGAAACTAAGTCATTGTATCATGTGTCTTTGGTACATGAGTACATGTCATTCAAAAGAAAAAAGAATACCTAAGACACGAAAAATATTGTTAGTAGGGTCGCTCCGTTAATTTTGAAGACCCTGTGCGAAAAGTAAAAATGGGCCCCTAAATATAATTTTTTTTACACAAACAAAAACCATTGATAAGTCAATAATTGTAATAAAACTAATTAAAACAAAAAAAAATGTTATTGATCCGTCACTAATCCGTCGCAATTTGTCAATAATTCATTGTTAATAATAATGTACTTAAAATTCCGCCCACTAAACGACATGGGCCCACTCCGTGCAGTCGCACACCCCACACATACCCTGGGTCTCGTGAGATATAAACGTTTTGACACAATATACTTGTAATTATACATTTTTCCTTTCCGAATCATCATGTAATTTAGAACATTCACTTTTCTCGAACATTTGTACATATAATTTTCTTTCAAAAAATATAGATTTGTATACCTTTCATTCCAATTGTAAGTACATATGCTTTTCTTTCCACAATAAATGCTAGTATATATATTTCTTTCAAAACATAAGTACATAATTCTCTTTCCAAAGTATAGATTCACACGTCTTCCTTTTCAAAACATAAGTACATACATTTCTTTTTCCAAAACATAGTCTCATATGTATTCCTTTTCAAACCATAAGTACATAGATATATACTTCTCTTTCTAAAATATAGACCCGTGTTTTCCTTTTCAAAACTTAAGTTTGATATACATTTCTTCCAAAATAGGCCTATATGATTTCCTTTTCAAAACATAAGTACATATGCTTCTCTTTCCAAGATATAGGTTAATATCATTTCTTTTTAAAAACATAATTAAGTACATATACTTCTCTTTCCAAAATAGAAATAAATATAATGATATGTAATGCATGAGTCCAAGCATAAAACATATGAGACGGCTTATGGCTCACTCTAAATTTTTCCTTTGACCAACGATTATGTAAACCAGGCTATCCTAATCACTTTAGAGTCTAGTCTCCTTTTTATAGAAATAATAAGAATCGATCAAGTTGATCGATATTATGATCTTACCAATTTAGTCTTTCCCCTTATAGGTGCAATTATAAGGGAAACATGTTTGATGAGCCTATCTTGACTAAACCATGTAGTTCACACCCCCCCCCCCCCCCCCCTTTTCTGCCTAATACCAACACAATAAAATACAATGTGCATTACGCATTCATATGTATGCATGTCCAACAAGCAACATTCCAAATACATTCACGATACATTCAATATGTTACAACTAATAAAAAGAGAATACCCTTGATGAAAATTGGGATATTAATTAAATTATATAAAAAGAGAAAAAACTAGAACTTTTATGTTGTCCATGGGATTTGGTTACACAGATTTTACCCATACCCCTCACAAAAATCTAAATGAATCAATTAAAACTAATATCAGAAGTAAAAGAAGACACTTTGCAAAAACAAATATGAATTCATCCCTTCCCTTTTCTTTATCTACACACATCCATTTTTCACATCTTCTATACTACTACTATTACTAGTCATCATAAACATACTTCCACCATTTTTCCATTTCCATTTCCATCTTCATCAGTCACAATCCAATCCACACTCCTCCAACACAATCCCACCTCGATCAAGAAACGGGTTTACCCGGACCCACAAAAGCGATAAAATCGAAGCCAAAAGGATCGACCACACGAGTATAATAGTTGGAACATTGCTCTGTTTTCCCATCATACCCTTCAAGAAAGGATACAAATGTAAAATCACCCATATCGCAAAGAACAATCTCCCAAAAAGCGGACCCCATGACTCATAACCATTACTGATAGCATCCGAAATCCCAATTATAACCCCAATGATGTTGAAAATCAAAAGAGTCAAAGGCGGGATCAAAAGTGTTGTCCATTTGAAGACATAAAGCTCTGCAAAATCACCATCATCTCCTCCCTTTGAGGTAACTGTGAAATTGGTGTTCACTCCAGCTAAAACCTTGAGAAGACCTTGAAACAGAGCAAAAAGATGAGATGACACTCCACCAATAACCCAAAACTGCTCGTTTCTCCATAAGTCATCAATGGCTACACGTCCCCATTGCATCTCCAAGATACTTGTTACAGCAATCGACAAAAACATCAACATGAACAGAATACTCGCGTAATTGCTTATCTGTAAATCATATTCAAGATTGCAAAAATCAGATAAGCTCAGGGACTAAAAATGTAACTTACTCAAAAAAAAATTAGAATGTGTTTGTTACCTCGGGAACGATGAATTTTCCAGTGAGTAGACAGACAGCAGGAAGGGTACAATAAGCAACCAATGGAACAGAGGTTAAAGGATACACAACCGAATTGATATAAGAAAACCTCTCTAATGGCTTCAATCCACATCCATATCCATACCATATTGGACAATGCTTGCTGAATAAGATCTCAACAGACCCCAGGGCCCACCTCAGAACTTGGTGAAGACGATCTGAAAGATTAATCGGAGCTGAACCCTTAAATGCTGCTCTTTTGGGAATACAGTATACTGATCGCCATCCATGGCAATGCATCTTGAACCCAGTTAAAATATCTTCAGTAACTGAACCATATATCCAGCCAACCTAATCGTTCCATATAAACAAATTTCATAAGAAGCTTTTACGAATCTGAGTTGCGTATTTATGTATTTAGTTTTAGGGTTTTACCTCTTTTCCCCATTCGGATTTATCTTCGTAGCCACAGCTTATGACATGAATGGCTTCCTTCAGTAGTGATGCTGAGGTTGCACCCGGAGGAACACCGCCCTCTTCGAGAAGTGTTGATGCGATAAACACGGGAGACTGACCGAATTTCTTCTCGAATTTTATCTGAGGCATCAGTGATGTTTTCTCACTATCGATTCCTGTCAAAATACATGTGTTAGTTATAAAAGATAATGAAAAAGGGAGTAAATTCGTTGAAACCGATTGGTTTTTAGTTTTTACCTTCGATTCCTTCTTCGATGTTCTCAAGTGCGTGTATTTGAGTTGAGGCTTCCTTCATCTTCTTACTCTTTTTGGAACTCTCTTTGGTTTTCGATTTCCCTTTGGTTTTCTTCTTCTTTGATCCGAAACAACAGCAACACCATTTTGGCAAGCAGTTGCAGGTTTTTCCAGGGGCTTTCTTCTTAGCTGGAGCATCGAATCCATACAAAGCTTGTCTTCTAAACACACACCCAGTCCCCACATAAATCGGTCCTTGGATTCCATCCAAACCCTTCATGTTAATCTTAACAAACACAAAAAATATCAAGAAATTAGATAAAGTTATTCACATAATCATGTTTGAACTTGAATCCAGTTTAGGTGATACATACATCGAAGAACACGACATTTCGATTCGAATACCGATCGTGACGATCGATCCCATCGAATCTTTGCGGGAATTGCACGTAGCAGATTTTCTTCCCGGATGTGGGGTCCATCATGAAACACATGGATTCACGGATTGCTTTGCTGTTGTTGATGTAATGATCACAATCAACATTGAGAAGATAAGGCGCATTTGAAACAACAGCCGAAACTCGAATCTTGAAAAAGAAAATATAAATATCCAAAATTATAATCAACATTCAACAATGAAAAGAGCTTTTTACAAATCCATAACATAAAAAAATGGCAAAAAGCTTATACCAGAGCATTCATGGCACCAGCTTTCTTGTGATGATCAAATCCAGGTCTCTTTTCACGAGAAACATAAACAAGACGTGGTAACTCGTTTCCTTCAAGATCACGAACACCATTTTGACCTAGAAAAACCTATTAACAAACAAAATTTATTAAAATTTAAGAATGTTTAGATATGAAGAAAGAAAGAAACTGTAAAATGTAAAAACACACACACAAACCTGAATCATTCCAGGATGATCTCTAACATTGTTCCCAGGCCATGGAGTTCCATCTTGCATTGTCCATCCTTCTTCCGGAACCTTCTGTGCCATTTGCACAAGCCCATTTATACGTATCTTAAACTCTTCATAATCTCTCTGTATTTCAAATACAAATTCATGTCAATAAAACTAAAACAAGAAATCAAAATCAAGTTTTATAAGATTCAATCCAAATTCCAAACCTTCATAGCACGACGTTCACGGACAAATGCAGGGTGGACTTTATCTTTAAGATAGTCAACTTTTTCAGCAAAATACCATTCAGGAGCACGAGGCTCAATGCTAAACTTTTTACAAAACGGGACCCACTTTCTTGCGAATTCTGATGTCTCTGATAGAGCTTCAAATGTAAGCATGGCAGCTCCATCATCAGAGACATAACAAGCTACTTTATCCACAGGGTAATCAACAGCAAGAATTGACAACACTGTGTTTGCAGTGATGAGTGGTGGTTCTTTTAATGGATCAACTGTACTCACAAATACATCCACAGGAGCTAATTCAGATGGCTTCCCTTCTTTCTCATATCTGTAACAAATAAACTCAATCAACATTTATCCAAACTCAATAAATCAAGAAAAAGATGATTGTGGAAACAATAGATACCTGAGTGATAAACGATCAAGATATGTTTCTCTTTCGATTGGGAACCATTTTGGGAATTGATCAAAGATCCACGAAACAGCAAACCAAATCTCACATATAATTGAAGTGAGCCATAAAGCGTATGCATCTTTCACAGGGTGAAGGATTCTATAATGAAAGAAGAATCCAAGAATCACGAGTCGCATTAATATCACCATTCTGTATGGATTTATCTTGCTTGAAGGAATTGGTAGCTTTCTTGAAAGTGGTTGTCTACCCTCATCCATCCTACATTCAAAGAAAACGAAAATTTGAAATTAACATCATTAGTTTGCTTATAAAGAAAAATACCCTTTGTTTAATATGTAGAAAAGATTAAAAAAAACACTTACTTTGGCAAATCAGGATCATCCACATCATCACCATCTCCTTGGTGTTTGACCATTTGAAGTTTATCATTCTGTCTTTTCCTCCATTCTTCCATTCTGTCTTTCCATGCAACAGTCCCATAACCATAAACTGCCAGGTCTTTCTTGGGATCCATTGGCCTAGGCGGCACTGCACCACCATCAACCACCAACAACCACCACAATCAAAACTAATCCAATAATCTTCTACCAATTAAAATCAAATCAAGAACTAAAAACTTACAAGAGATAGATGAAGCAGTATCAGAAAAAGGCATGGGATGAATCCGTTTTGCTCGGTTCATAAATGGTGGAATGATTAAAGCATGCTTGTCAGATGAAATCCCATCATCCTAATTCAACAAATTCACAATCAGAAATCTCAAATCTCCATTTTTGATCTTCAAAGAAAGTTATTAATCTTGTGATATGACTGATATCAGTATATAATTTATTACCTCTTGACCATAAGTAAGACGTGGGATCTCTGGGTTGACTCCATATGCATCTGAAGGAGTGGCAAAACCGGAAACATTTGTTCCAATATTGAGGCGTGAAGAAAGCATTGCCTCAGAATCACTATGAGGGAGATCAAATTCATTATCCAAGTCATCAAACTCATCTTCTTCTTCATCACCATCAACTCTTGGACTCCCTGAAATTATCAGTATTAGTTTAAGATTTCTCTTTTTTATTATCACTAAATCAAAGTGAGGAACAATCTTGATTATTGGTACCTTTAAGCCTTTTAAAACGGGTCTTGCATTGAGGGCAAGATTGATTTCCCTCTCTTCTTTCATATTCGTAACAAGGTCTGCAGATGGGGAAAGCACATTCATTGCAAGCAACAAATTGCTCACCATCTACTGTTATTTCAATCTCATCTCCACAAATCTGGCAAATCTGCCCACTTAACTCTTTTACAGAAGTCACCTAAAGAAATAAAAAACAGAATTTAGCTTCAGATTCAAGAAATCCAACATCCACATAAGATCTTCACCGAAAGTAGACCAATAAACTAATGGCACTTAAAAGAAACATCGTAGATGACTGTCATCAGAATTATATTGTGCTACAAAACAATTGGGATCTTTTTGTAGTTATCAAGTAATAACATTTGAGATACAGATGAGCTGAAACCTAATTCTGACATGGTAGTCAATGTAACTTGTCCAGAAAAGTAGATTATTATATTAATTTGTAAGGCACCGACAGAAATTAATACAGAAAGGTCCAGACTTTACAGCTGCAAACCTACTTTTTGACAACAAGAATTCAAATTAACTACGCAAATGCATAAATCGAGTCGGAATCGAAAACCCGAGGATGAAATTAGGGCAAACGGAAGTAAAAAGTGGAAACCCAATTGAGATTTTGGGAGATTTATGAAAGAATCTTTGACTTACTCTTCCGACTTCATCTGCATTGATTAGAACGAACTCATTACGGTTGTGTGAACCAGCAATAAGTCGTCCGTTGGTAGCCATTGAATCACACGAACTATCAATTCAATTGTTTACAACACGAGAGAAACCTGACTTGAAATCTTGAATGAAAACTCACTTCACACGGCGAATCCCTTCAAGAAGCCCATGAAATGATGAAAGGAGAGAGCTTTTTCCCCCTTTCTCTCTCTCTATTCTCTATTTCTTTTCCTCCTTATTTAGTACTCACTCTCTTAATACACACCCAATCACAAGAACCACCAAACTCATTTAAAAAAGGCTGACAACGAAATGCAGACAGCAAATACCTCTGTAATTTTTGTAAAAAAGAGAAAGTAAATAGATAAAAACCCACACTCAAAAGTGGTAAAATTAGTGATTGATTGATTCTTTTCTTGAGAGAGAAAGAGAGAATAAAAAAGTTTGTTGAGTATTGAGGTGTGTGGATCAGAGGTAGAAGAAGAAGAAGAGATCTCGACAAAGACAACTGGTTGTGTGTTAAATTCTTAAGAGAGAGAAAGAAAGGCGTTGAAAGTTCAACGCGTAATACAGAAGGGACACAGATCGCTTTGATGGATCTGTCTGTGAGAGGCTTTCCTTTTTGATAATTCTAGAGAGAGAAAGAGAAGTATGAGTTGTAAATTTGGACAGAGTGGGGCCTACCGGAATGACGGAGGTCCGCGGTGGAGACTAGGGTCCAGGTACGGTGGTTCTCGGAGGGGACTCAACGGGTAAGGGTGTAGTGGTAAATTCCCATATTGTCGGCTCGATTTGCACCAAAAAAAAAATTAAAAGACAAAACTTCAAAAATGGTCCCTGTGGTTTTCGAAAATATCAAGTTTAGTCCCTAAGTTCAAAAAACCTCACAGATCGTCCCTGTGGTTTCAAAACTTTTAACATTTCGTCTTTCCGGCTCACTCCGTTACCATTTAGCCGTTAAGTCAGGGGCATTTTTGTCATTTCATTAACCAAGGACCATTTATGAGGTTTTCTATTACTTTTTTTTAAATAAATAAATAAATTTAATATGCAAGGGTCCCACCTCTCTCTCTCTCTCTCTCTCTCTCTCTCTCATATGTCCATTTTCGTCCTAGAAAATACTTGTCATATGTATCCATCTATGACATGTGATAAGATCGACCATATGAGCACAAATGAGTAAATCAGTTACCACCATTCCTCCGGCAGATTGTGGAGACATGTAAACCAGCAAATTAAGGTTTGAGATCCTTCAAATCGATGGAAGAAATGGAAACCTGCAAATCGATGGAAGGCCCATCTGACTCGGTTTCAACCTCCATAAATCGAAAAATGATGCAGAGGTTCTTATCGTTAATGATGGGTCTTCCACATCGCCGACCAAATACATCCATCGAACTGTGGTTAAATATCCAGGTGAAAACCACATACAAAACGTTTGATTCTTATTATTATTTGTTTCCGATTCTCCCTTCTCTCATCGGAAACTGATTTGCAGGTTTAATTTTCCCCTAATCCTTGCTCAAGCAAGGTCGATTCATCATCAATTACCTTCGACAGCCACTTCCCGTTGGTTGTCTGATCATCTAGAGAATAATTTCAATACCCCCTCCACACACAAAAAAAAAATTGATACCTTGATCTTCATCTGGTGTTTGTTTGGAATTATTGGGTTTTTGATTTGCTTTTGGGTATTTGATCTTCTTCTAGGTTTTCTTAGTTAATAAATAGCAGTGGAAGACAAGTGAGCTTTGGAATCGATCGTATGATGAAGAGAACGAGTTTCAGATTTATAGCCAAGGATTTTATGGCTGGTATGTGTGTGTGTGTGAGATAGAGAGAGGTGGGACCCTTGCATATTAAATTTATTTACTTATTTAAAAAAAAGTAATAGAAAACCTCATAAATGGTCCCTGGTTAATGAAATGACAAAAATGCCCCTGACTTAACGGCTAAATGGTAACGGAGTGAGCCGGAAGGACGAAATGTTAAAAGTTTTGAAACCACAGGGACGATCTGTGAGGTTTTTTGAACTTAGGGACTAAACTTGATATTTTCGAAAACCACAGGGACCATTTTTGAAGTTTTGTCAAATTAAAAATTAAAAAAAAAGAAAAAAAGAAAAAAAAAACCTCAAGATTTTAATTTAATATTTTATATATAAGAATTAGTGTAGCAATAATTGAAGGAAGAGGTGGGGTTTTGTGACTCACTTTCACTTGCTACTAATTGTTTTGTCAAATGAGAGAGAAACATACTACATATACCACTTGCACGGTCGCACCTAATCCCAGGGAAAACATCTTCACCCATCTTAAATTTCAAGATCTGCATATTGCCAGATTTCTTATACCCGGAATTGGTGCCATCATTGTCACATATTTAATTGTTGTAAGTCTTATTTTCATCGCACTACACCACTTCAAATTCTTGCAATTTGGAATGGTGGAGTGTTATGCAACAAGTTTTTTATTATTATTTAAACAATTTAATTTATATATAAAACTATTTTTTTTATTAAATTAAAAAAGAAATTACTAACATAGATGAATGATTTGTAGAAATTACTAACAGGACCGAAATCCGAAAACATACTAACATTCCTCGGACATTGTCCGACATCGAACCGTAATCCGGAATCATACAAACACAGACACATGCAAGAATCACGAAGACATCAAGCATACAAACATTCATCGAACATCGTTCGGCATCGGACCGTAGTCCAGAAAGCATATAAACATTCATCGGGCACCGCCCGACATCGGATAAAATCAGGAAACATACAATCATACATACGGACCGACCTTGGTGCCTTAGACCCGTTCCTATAGGAGAAAACTCACCTCGCAAAGCTGAATGCAGAATCTCACGATAAGGAATCTCTAACGGCTGCCCCGACGACTTCTCGAGCTAACATTGCCAAAATAACACTTAGTCAAAATCCAATACTCCTTCTTAGGGTAAAATGACAATTTTACCCCTAATCTAATTTGGTCCATGACTAAGGCCCAAATCCATAACATACATGGTCCAATTCTATATAGTCTTTCCAAGCCCACTAATGGCCTACTTATGGCCCAATTTTGTAAATTGGGCCCAACTCCCCAAATGGGCCTTCCTTAAAGCCCAAACATGTTCTTAGCCCAATAACTGATTCATGATGGCCCATAATAACAAAGTCCATGAAATGGCCCAATCCGAGGCCCAAATGACGAAACCCTAATCCAGTGAGTACGCTGGGCGTACTCCTCTGTACGCTAAGCGTACAGTTTGCATGGCTTGTACGCTGCGCGTACAGGCTTGTACGCCCAGCGTACTAACCTGTTAAGCCATAAACTCCAAAAAGACTTAATCCCTTAAGACCTTAAGCTTCAAACGTAGATCTGAGTCCACTACAGTGTCTTAATCCATAAATTCGATTACTTGGTGGCTTGCAACCGACCAAATGGACCCAAACTTGAAATATGGCAACTAACTTCCATGGAAATGACTAAAACTCATGCATGGCCACAATAAGACCTTCAAGATGGAAACTTTTCTATTCTTGGGACTCATATAACACTAAAGGTGGCAACCCTAAGCCTAGAAACGAATTTGAACCATAAAAATCCATTATTGGGACCTAAAAAGGTCCAAAACATCATTAACATAGATCTAAGCATACATGAGGCAAGTTGTGAGCTTTTTACCTCAAATGAGTGCTAAATGGTGATGATATCTCATATCCTTGAGCTCAAGCTACTAAATTTCTTCTTCACCAACTTCCTCTTTCTTCTTCCAAGCTTCAAACCACCAAAATAAGCTTCACAAGATCAAAATCACATGAAGATGAAGAAGGTTAGGGTTATAGGGTTTCTGAGTCAAGGAGGTTGGTAAGGAGGCTAGGGTTTGGGACATAATGAGGTATTTATATGGCTCAAACCCTAAAAATTAGGGGTTTGAGTTTGCTCGCGTACGCTGCGCATACACGTATCAATCCCCCGCATCCAATGTTGCACTACGCCCCGTGTACGCCAAGCTTACGCCTAGCGTACGTCTTCGGATAGCCCAATAAATAACGGCCCACTCACTTAAGGCCCAACTCAATAATCCAACATTAACGTCATAGTGCATCAATTAATTACAAAGATTAAATAATTAGCATTACCTCAAGTTATGGGCGTTACACGTTCTCGCCTCAAAACTCTCAGTAGCTCACGGAGATACTCATCATGCTACTCTTTAGTCTTGAAATACACCAAGATGTCATCTATGAACGCGATAACCGAGCGATCGAGCATCGGTCTGTATACCCGATTCATCAGGTCCATGAATACTGCTGGCGCGTTGGTGAGCCCAAATGGCATCACCACAAAACTCGTAATGTCCATAACGATTCCGGAACGCGGTCTTCTCCATGTCCTCCTCCCTCACTCTGACCTGATGGTACCCGGACCTCGGATCTATCTTGGAAAACCAAGATGCTCCCTGCAACTGATCGAAAAGATCATCAATCCGTGGAAGTGGGTAACGATTCTTTTGTAACGCCCGTGTTTCTAGGCTAGGCATTAATGATGATGTAATAGTCTAGGTCAACCTTTGTAATTTGTTTTGAAATTATAAGATGTATTATTTGAGTATTATGTGTTTTTTATACTTAATTATTATGATTTAATAAGTTAAGGATAAAAATAAGCGTCGAAAATAAATATTAGATGAACCCGATATCTATGAAGAAAGTTGTAGTGGTTGAAACAAGGATTCCAGGGATATAAAGAATACCGAAATCCGAGTTATAACGACAGAACCGACACGACGTTGTGTGACGTAAAAAGTGAATTTACGATAAAGTGCTTTTTATCCTTAGCGATCTAAACGAAAGTCGTAATGTTCGTTAAACCGAGAGCGTGCATAAAAAGAACGCCCAAATCTGACTTCGTATGAGGAAGTTATGATTTTTCTAAGTTTCGGCTTAGCAGTATGCAGCCCGAAACTCGAATTTTAGATCGAGTGATTTTTATCCGAAACAACCTAACCGAGAATCGAAGATCTTGTTGATAGTAGCTCAACGGTAAAAAGACAAACGAAAACGGACGTCGGATGAAAAAGTTATGAATTTTTAACAGACTTTTCCTGTCCCGGCCTGTTAAAAATATAACTTTAAAAATAAAGTCAAAATTAGCCGACGGAGTCTAAACGAAAGTTGTAGAGCATAGTCTCACCTACACGTGGATATAAAGAACGCCAAAAACGGAGCGCATATGCGAAAGATATGGATTTTTGAAGTTCTGGGCACAAACTTCGAGGCTGGTCCGAAGGAGTACGCCCAGCGTACATAAAGATTACGCCCAACGTACTTCACACGTATTCGATCCAGAGTCAGCCACGTTGCCCTTCCTTTGCTAGACACGTATCTTGACACGTTTGAAGCACAAAACCGAACACAAGCCACGTTTACCTCGTACGCCCAG